GTGGATAAATTGTAGTTTTATATATTTTGAGAATTTCTGATATTGAAATCATTAGTTATTTGAAATATGAAAGTAAGAGTTGAGACATATATGATAAATATATATAACATTCACTATAGTCAAGTTTGATTAATAATTTGAATGCATAGTTAAAATTATTGTATTGTATAAAGTTGTATTGATAAATGTGTCTTAAAACTGAGTTGAGTGTTTGTGGATATAGAAATAGAGGTAGATTCAAATGTGCTAACCTTTGGTTATAGCATGAGTTTGGATCAAATAATGTTTTGTGAATTGGTTCTTGCAGTGCTTCTTTGATGTTTGATAATAAAATAGAATTCAAAGAAATAGAAGATTCTTCTGTAAATATACTTACTATATACTCAGTTCTTACAGCTGCAAAGAGTACCATAGACTGCTCTATATGTTAAGTCTAGCTGTTATTAACTTGGTTCTTCATGTAAATAGACTTAACTACCTATTTACTTATATCACTCTCTTTTGAAAATGCCCATGTTTAATAGAGAACATCATAATTTCAGAAGTGGTAGTTGCATTTATGTGTTTTATAGAAGATTTAATTAAAAAAGAATTATGAAAATAGGTGATTGTAGTTTCTTGTTAAAGGGTTTCAGTATAGGATAATTTTTCTTTAGTTTTGTTATTATCTTTGCTAGATTTTGGATTAAAGAAAAGAACATCTTTAAGCTTTTTGAAAGATTGAAATTTGATTTTAAATTCCTCTTAAAGTATTTTTTGGGCTTGTGGATAAATTGTAGTTTTATATATTTTGAGAATTTCTGATATTGAAATCATTAGTTATTTGAAATATGAAAGTAAGTAATTACTTGGGCAAAGAAATGTGTATTAACTGGTTTTGTTGTAATTTTGTTAATGGCCTGATGCTCATTAAGATTATTAATTTCATCATTCTTAGCAGCAGCTCTAAGAAATGCACAAGAGTAAGAATATAAATAAAAACCATAACATTTAGGATTTTTGATAGTATTATTGTTATCAGAAAAGTTAACTTTTTGTTTCATTAGCAAGTTTGTGAAGCAATGGTAAAGGTATAATTTTTGAAAAGTAGTCTGATGTTTTTGGTCTTTTGCAAAGATAGAAAAATTAAGCTTTGGTTGAGTTCATTTAACTGAATTATTATTTGATGGAATGGCAGAAAATTTTTTAAATGATATATCAAAGAAATTGGTAAATAAGTTTTCAAAATTATGTTCAGTATTAAGAGAAAGAATAGTGCATATATTATTTTTGCTATCTAAACAGGTATGAATATAAAATAGAACAGCTTTAGTACAAAGTAATGATCATTCTTTGTGAGAATTAATTGCAATTATTTTGAAATCTGAAGAAAATAGTCTCTTGCATAATTCTGCAAGTTTAGTAGCAATTTCATATTTAATATAATTAAAGGTTTTAGTTTCATTAATGTTAATAAATTGTTTATTGTAATTAGCAAAAAATGGTTTAAATCATGATTCAAGGTCAGGTCTGTATTTTTTAAGAGAAAGAATATGAAAGGTTTGTTGAAATTTTTGTTTAGAGATATTAAGTGAGATATTGATATTGTATTTTCATCATTTGATATTTTGAACAAAGGTTGATTAATGGCATCTTTACTAATAAAATAGTGAAATGAAAAGCATATTAGTAAAATGTTAACTGTTTTAGAAAACTTAGCAAGTTGATTGTTTGATATTTATTTTGTAAATAGAGATAAATTCTTGCCAAATTAATTGCTACTTGAAAGTGATTTTGTAAACTATAAGGAGGAATTAATTTGTATAAAGAAAGTATTTTAAAATAGTTAAGTTTGGTAAAAAAGAGTTGTAGTAAATTTGTGCAGAAGCATTTTAAGAGTTGAGTAAAAGATGTTGAAGAATATAATTGATTGAATTATCAATAGTAGGATTGTGTTGATAAATAATATCTCTAAGAAACTTAGGTTATCATCAACAAGAGTGTTAATAAAATATTTAAAACTCTATTTAAATGCTTGTTTGAGTTCAGTTACAAGTTTGGTAATTTTTCTTTGTGCAAAATTGATAAGATGAGGTTTAAGAAAATTGAAGATTTGTTGAGATAATAGTGTATTAAGTTAGTAAATAGTTCTATTTCAGTTGTGATTAAATATTTTTGGGCCTAGTTAAGAAGATTTTCTTTTATTTGTTGTAGAATTTTATTTTTTGCTGAGTAGATTATTTTTTCTTAAGAAGTTGAAGAAATTCTTTAAAGATTTGGATTTTTTTTTCTTTTTTGATAAGAGCAAATTTAGTAGTAAAGAAAACTGATCATTGTTGTTAGTTAAGTGATTTAGTTTGAATTAATGGTTTTAACTTAAGGTTAGAAATATAGCTAGAATGAATGAGATATCCATATAAGATTTTAGCAGTAGGATCAAGAGAGTGTTTGTCATTAGTTAGAAAAACATATAGAATATTTGATTTATGACAAATAATACAGATATGAGTATATTGTTTATAAGCTTTAATAGCTACAGTATTAGGTATAAGGTTTGTAACAGTTAAAAAAATGGCAACAGATGAGTTGTCATAATTGAATAAAAATAGAGGAATTTTGCTTACAGGGATTGAAGAATAGTATCTTTGGTTTTTTTGAATTGGTTTGGAGTTATATTTATAGGAGTAGCAGAACCAGAAGTTGGAGGAGGTGTTGCATATCTTGAGAGGAGTTAGTAATAACAAAATGTAAACAGAGAATAATAAGTTTTACAGAGAATTGGATAACTGTAGATTAATAAGTTGCTTTGAAATAGTGAATTTTGTTTTTTTTATTGCATTCAGTTGGGTACATAGCAAATTGAGTAGGTTTAATTTATTGTAGATTATTTTCTTTAGTCATGGCACCAAAGCAGTCACTATAATTATCCAAAAAATAATCTAAATCATATTAGTCTGGATCTTAATTAATTAATATAGACATGGTTGCTTTAAAAATGAAAACAGATTTGATATTAGGATTCTTGAGTTTGATAGGATGTCAATGATATAGAGTATGACAAATAAGAAGGAGTGACAAATAATGGATGTGATAAATAAAGAATGTGACAATTAAAGGATGTGACAAATACAGAGTGTGACAAATAAAAAGGTATTACAGAAAGTATGTGACACTTTGCAAATCTATTTGTAAATCAAGATTGATATTAAATAAAAAAGTTGTATAAAATTGTAAAAATACAAATTTCTAATTAATAAATTGTATAATATTGATTAGTAATCCTGTTTTAGTCAGATTTGGATGAAGTAGACCAGAGGCAGCCTCTCAAAAAATATAAAAAAAATTTGCAAAAAAATAAAAAAAATTTACAAGAGAGTTTAAGTGTATTTTGCCAATAAGTTGATCAGATTTAAGCTGTTTTTGATAAGATATATATCAAAATGAAGTTGTAACTGAGCTTATTGTTTTTGTTCTAAAATATAAAAGTTATTTAATTAGTAAAATTTTAAGATAATATGAATAGATGTATTTTTATATTTAATAAAAATATCTTAATAAATAAGAGGTCCAGAGATATATAAATAGATCATCTAAATGTAAAATTATATCAGAAACAATTTTTACTTAGGCATTTAAGAGTAGTTTACTTAATAAAATATTAAATAATAATTAATTGTTTGCAGCAAAATTTGGTACAAGTGATTGTTAGAAAGAGTTAATAATTTGCATTCTGATCAGCAAAATAATTACTTAGTTAAGTTTTATAAAAAGTTATGATTAATAGATCCAAATATAAAATCTAAATAAATTTAGATTTAAATATATAATTATTAATTAGCAAAACTGATTTATATTATTATTAAATTCAAACTTTATTAAATTTAAATTTAATATTTAAGTTTGGATCTAATAATCAAATTCAGATTTAATGATTGAATTCAAATATTTTAATTTTATAATAAAATGTTTCTATAATTGACAATAGTTATTATATATTAAAGTTAAAATTTTATTATACAAATTGATTTTTTGTAATTAAATAAAAATGTTTGCAAGAACAAAATACTATACTATTAAAATTTTATTTAAATTAATTAATTTTTTACTAATACAGTTTTATATTTTACATTAAATAAAAAATTAAAAAAATTTTAAACATAATATTCATTAAATATAAATTAGAAAATATATTAATAAAAAATTATTTATTTTAAATAAAATTTTTAAAATATGTAGTTTTTGATCTCTAAAATATTTTTACTTAGTAATTAAAAATCAATTTGTTTAATAAAAAATTTTAATTTTAATCTCCTGTCACACTAAGTGTTACTCATAACTACCTTTATTATAATTTTTCACATGTAATAAACTATATTTATAATGATCATACGGTTATCAGGAATCTTTCTACAGAAGATTTCCAGTTTCATTATAAATGAACAGGAATTTTATAATTCTTCACAATTAGAAATTTTTATAATGTTTAAGATTATTAAAATTGTAAAGCTGAGCAAAATTGTTATAAACTGTGCAATTAATTAAAATATTATAAGCAAAACAGAAATTATGATCGTGAATTTATTTAATTTTGGTTATATTACAATTGCATATATAATTAAGTATTAATTATATAGTATTTTAAATTATGGCATTAAACTAATATTAATGTTTATATTACTGCAATTTTCAATTGTAATATTGGAAATCTTTGCTTTTTTATATCTCACATCAGAATTGATTTCATTATTAGTTTTAGCTTCAGATTTATTATCAACTTTGTTTTTGGGTTCATTATTAACATTAGCTTCAAAATCAATTTTATTAAATTTATTGAAAAGTAAATCAGATGCTTTGGAAAATCCTTTATTAATATAATTAGAAGTAGATTCTTTTAATGCTATATGAGAATTAGGTTCTAAAAAAAATAGAAAATTAATATAACTTATAAATAAATATTATTACTATATCTAATATTATTTTACCTGCTTCTTCAATTGCAATTAAAAGAGAAACATTATCTTATTTATGTTTTAATGATTAATGCTAATAAGCTGAAACTCCTGCAATAGTTTTATGTTGAGAAAAGATCATTTGTTCATCTAATATAACATCCAATTCTACAAGATTATGAATACTTATAGATCACATAAAATGATTAGTAATAGAACAGTCTTTAAAATTCAGCTTAGCATCTTTACAAATATTATGCATCATAGTATTATGTGATCCTTTTTCTAATTTCTATGTTAAATATTAATTATCATGATATACTTTCTTAGGAATATTTATTAAAATAAAAAATAATCATCAACAACATTGTTTGGATATTTAGATAAATATTTTCAAATGTCAGCAACTGGGATATAAATATTTTCTGAGATATCAAGTGGTATTAAACTACTTCCAGATTCTGCATATAGATCTTTAAATCTTCCTGCATAGTTTTTTTTTTTAGATAGTTCAAGCAACATACCACCATCATCTAGTTCTTTAAGCCAAGATGCTTTTAATCTTTTTGCATCTCCACCTCTTAAACAACATAATAAAGTTAGCCAAATCCAAATTCTGAATATAAGGCCTTTTGGATTTTCAACAGTCATAGCAGGTGAATTCACTATAAACTTAATTTCATCAATTTCTAGTGAACTAAATTGTTTACAATTTTTATTATTATTATTAGCAAGTAATTTTATGTGACCATCTAGCACAGGTCGAATGAATAAATAAAGGGTGAATAATAAGTAAATAACAGAAAAAAAATCTGCCATTATTCTACCTTATATCTGCCAAATAATAGCAGCATAATAGCAGCATAATAGCAGAATAACAGTAAAATAACAGGAGGTTTGTCAATA